CGGGTTGGTGGCTCTGGGCCGTGCCAGGTGCAGGGTCTGCTGGCTGGGTGCTGGCAGGCTTGCACCTGGCACGGACACCGTAGCCAGCCCGTGCCCCTTTAAGGGGTCCGGGGCCGGGAGGGGGGCAGTAGAGTTTCCCTGGTGTTGGCCAGAGTGGCCACCAGGGAAACCTGGGGAGAGCTAGACTCCCACTAGTTCGAATTAAGGGGCTACGCAACCCTTAATTCGAACTAGCTAGTTTGAACTAGGCTTAATCCTTGTGGAATGAGGATTACCTAGTTCGAACTAAGCGCTCCGCTAGTTCGAATTAAATTCGAACTAACGGAGCGCTAGTGTAGCGCCTATGAAAGTTAGTTCGAACTAACGTCTGTTAGTTCGAACTAACTTTGTAGTGTAGACATACCCAGAGTGAGGAAGAGAGGGAGTCAAATTCAGACCTTGTGAAAGCAGGTTCAATACTATGAGCTCCAGCAATCAAACACAATTATACCAAAATATAAATGTAAATGTCATAACTAATGAACAATGTTAATCAACAAAATAAAAATATAGAAAAAAGGCTGCGTTAAGGCTTTAACCCACGGGTGGGCACTCCGAGATTTTGGAAAGTGGTTTGAGGGTCGCACTCTTTCAGGATATTAATGGAGGAATCCAGGAATTCCTAAGGCAGCCCGGATTCCGCCCACTGGCAGCCTCTTGCCCACCCCTGCTATAGAGTAAGAAGTTGCAATAGTCAGTTTTCTGAATGTAGCCACATTTCAACAGGTTATTCTGTTGCTTCTGACATTGAGGGGAATTATCTTTGAAAATAATAATTAAAAATAATCCCCTGGCCTTCTAAGCCATTTTTTGTTTTGGTTGTATCAAGATTAGGTCCCATGCTGGTTAATTAAAAGTATTATGAAAGACGTCTCCACCCCAGACTCTCTGAAGCTCATAATTGAAATGCTTTAGCATTATACAACTGAAATCTGCAAAACTGTTCCTCTGGATACAGAATCTGGATCTGTGGTTATACATACTACTAAAGCTTACCTGAAACTGCTGCTGAATAGAGATCAAAAGAAGGAGTGTATCTTATTTTAATGGATGTGTAATTATTCAGAGGACATTTTTTGTAATATTTCAAGTCTCATTTCTGAATTGTACGCAAGTTAGCCCAAATATGAACTTCAAATAAGTGTTTCACATGTGTAATTTTTCTTATGCTGCATATCTTTTCCTTGTATGCATAGTTTAAGCTATATTAAAAATAGTAGTTTACAGCCTTATGTTTATTTTGTTTACAGACTGGTGAACAAATCCATGTCAATCTCCCACTGTCCCAGCAAGTTTCTAATGAGAGCAGGCTCTCTATGTCTGAATCTGTCTCTGAATTCTTTGATGCACAGGAAGTGCTTTTGTCAGCAAGTTCATCAGAAAATGAGGTAGGCCATGGCAGAGTGTCAAGTGTTAGTTTTCAGTAATTTTAATAACTAGCAAAAGAGAGCAATGACCAAAAGGGTTTTTTACCCTGGTTAGGAAATCGGTAGGGAGCATTGACAAGTAAACATGAAACTCTCCAGTGTTCCCTAGAGAGCCCTAGCAATTAGAATGATTGTGTAGAAGTGCTGTATTTGGTATCAAGTATCAGAGGGGTAGCTGTGTTAGTCTGAATCTGGAAAAGCGACGAGGAGTCCTGTGGCACCTACATGCATCTGACGAAGTGGATCTTTGCCCACAAAAGCTTATGCTCCTACACTTCAGTTAGTCTATAAGGTGCCACAGGACTCCTCGTAGCTTTTGTATTTGGTATATATCCTTGCTAAACAATGTAAATCTACATATAATGAATGGTAAAATGGAAGGGATCCATCATGTGTGTATCTGGGTGGCCACTAATCTGGATGAAACCATCTGAATTAAAAAAAAAATACACACAGTCACTCTCTGGGTAAGGGACGGTTGAAAGTGCAAACTAATGCAGTCAGGAACAGTTCAGGCCACAGAATAATGCTGTCATCCTTAACTCACCTGGGTTGTTCCGCTGTTTACATAGCATTTTGGAATTGTGTGCCGAGGTTCCACTGCAGAATTCTTCCATGCTTGTGTGAATGGCATGGGGAACTTCCCTTTATTTTTTGTTTTGTTTGTGCTATATGGTGTGTCTCCCCTACTATGGTTTTTTTGTGGATAATCATGCTTTCCTCTACACCCTTTAAAAAGTGCTATTATAGAATTTCTAAATGGAATCACTTCACCTTCTCAAAGATCCTTGTTGTGTCCTGAGCCCTTAGTCATAAGGTTTGCATCCAACACTCTTTAAGAGATCCAACAATCCTCTTCTCTCTAGTCTCCCTGCTCCCTCCCCTTTGTTACCTGGCATGCTATTAAGCTGCATTGTACTTGCACACCTTTTCAGGCTTCATTTTCCTAACCCTACATGACACAAGGAAAAGTGATTTCACGGTTTGGAGGGAGGAAGCAACATCCTGTAGTTGCATATCCACTGCCTGAGGTGAAAGGATTTGGAGCAAGTGGCAGATTTCTTGAACAGCTTCTTTGCATGTGCTGGTTTAGCAGGTTTCTCAAGACTACAGTCTAACTCGGAGAGTGAATTTTCCCAACTGGATAGTTCCATAGCTGGTACTGTATCTTGAACTTAAAATACAAAAAACTTCAATCAGTTTAAAACACATAAGAACACTGTTACACAGAGGATGCATAGTCAAGTAACACCTTCAAATTGTTTATTGAAACTGGCAGCTGCAGGTTCTGCTTTAACCTCAGTCAGAGCAACTGCTGTGAGGAGCCTTTAATGTTAACATGAGACAGACTAAAGCACCCCTGAAGAGAGACGCAGGACACTTTTAAAATGCTCTTATATTCTACTGCCCACTGCCACATGTAAGGCTGAGAAGAAGAAGAAAAAGAAGAAAATCACTAGTTTCCTTATTTAAGACAATTTGAGTGCCAGCTGAAATAATTCATAGGCTTCCCTGTGGAGATGCCATAATTCCACCAGGTGAAACACAGTCCAGACTGCTGCCAATCTTAGCAAAGGAAACAAATCTCTAAGGAGTGTAAGCTTGCAAAGGCGCTGATGTCTCTGCTATGTATATCAAGCGAACTGTGAGGTGCTTAGCTCCTGGGAAAATCTGGCCTTAGTTTAAAAGACAGATTATTTTCTTTTATTCTAGTATCGTTAGACTTGTCATCAAAATAAATAAATATAGTTTATTTTATCCCCATTTGGAGCCAGGAAAAATCAGTCTCCCTAATCTCAAGGCCCTGGCTTGCAGTGAGTGTTTTCAGTCCCCATGGGCTAGCGTCTATAATTGCCTCACCGAGACTGTTCACAGGGGGGTTCCTTCCGAAACCAGCCCCCAGCTAATGTAATTGTTGTAAGTGTTTTGGCCTCTACAGATGAAGAGTGCTATCAATGAGCTATGTTTTATTATTGTTACTGTTATTGTTGTAGATGGAAAATCTTTTAATTTTATAGAATAATCCTCTCCGGGGAGCACAAAGGTATGTGCAGTGCTTAGGGGTTCAGCTTCCTGCTTCGCTGAGCACCTTGTCCGTGCTGCTGTCGTACAGTACTGACCAGCCCCATTGGGATGTAGGCAGAAAAAAATGACCCTTGTATCATTCACTCCCACGAGAACCTCTTTTAGTTAATAACTGCTGACCAGTCTATACACAGAAAAGCAAGAACCCAGGGATTACCTGACAAAATTGACACATTTATTTAAGAGGAAAATATTAATAAAATAAAATAGCCAATTTTTCTTCTTCTCTCATATACCCCTGCAATTAACAGAAAGTGCCTGGGAGGCTGCTTACAAAGATTTTGTTCCTATCCTACAATAAATACCATGCTACATATGCTCTTGTCATAGGGCAATGGGAAATATTTTACATGTTCAGGACTGAACAGTTTATTTAGGTTTGGTGGTACCCAATAAGAAGCATCTCACCAGGGAAAAGGTTGGATCAGTGGCTAATGAGAAGTGAGTCCTACCCAGGAATAGTGGGAGGAGCCGGTCCCAAAGCTCCCTCCTGCCTCCCTTGCAAAGAACCTCTTCCCCCCTGTTATTCTGCTTTGCCCTCCATTTCCTGATGACAGGCCCTGTCCCTTAGACCTAGCACATAAGAAGCAGGGTGTGGATGGTGTGAACAGTTGAAGAATGGCACAGAGCTCACAGTGGCACAATCCATTATCAGGCTTGTAGAAGAAGTCATTTCTGTGTGGAATGGGGAACAGAGTCGCTGCCTGTGCAGTGTGCTCATTCAGCATCTGTGCTCAGAGGGGGATGGCCTTTACTAACAGGTAGTGAGGGAGGCCTTAGGAAGGTGATGAGGAACAGGGCGTGGGAGAGAGAAAGAAGACGAGCTTTGTAAACTTCCGTCTTTTGTCTTAGAACATTACATTCATGCTAAGGGTTAAACTCCTTTCTTGTGAGGTGACATTCTGCAGCTGCCACAACTATGTTGTTCTGCTGCTATCTGCCTAAAATGCAGATGGATGATGTTATTGCTTACAGAAGTCAAGTTCTACCCTGGGCTGAGCCATGTGTGTTTATTGGGAAGAGGAAGAATGGAGGCTGTTACTTCCAATTTCTCCCTAAAGCAAGTGAAGGAATCTCTGTTATAGGCATTCAGAAGCACACCACAGGTAGCATCTGGTCTCTGTTCTGGCTGGGCACCCAAGTGGATACATGCTGTTATCTAGTGGGCTTGGTTAGGCCTCCTGCT